TCCAAATATATGGAAAAAACTCAGTGCTTATGAAGTGGTGCTTAAGAATGTGTTTATTAATTTTTGGATTTCAAGGGACGGATTTCATCTAGGATAGGAAGAATCATCTTTTGGCTTACTCAAACTCAAGTTTGATATCCACTACGCAATGGATGTTATTGGAATCGTCACAGAGTTTGTCAAGTAACAGAGTTGTGGGCCTAGCATTTGAGGACACGTCTTGCATGAGAAAAAAATGAGATCATAATATGAGAATGCATCAGCTGGGAATTGTCCATGTTTTGCGACATATTGAGAAAAAAAGTGATAAGGACATCCAGAAGAGAAAGATTTTTTTTTGAATTTTTTTTTTCAGTAGACAGGCGATGAAATCATCCATTATAAGGGTGTGACTATAGGAGGGACATAGCAGCTCTGTGTGCTTTCTAGTGGAGAAAAAAAAGTGAATTCACAACGAGGGCAATAATAAACGCCTAGAAGAATTTTATAAACGCCTTTCAACCTCCAAGACAAAATATTCTCCAGCATGGGCTGGTGGCGGTTGAGGCATGTCTACCAAAGAAAATCGAATATTAGCACGGATATACATAGCAACGCCACCGCTAACAGCACGAACATTTCTTATGCCGTTAAAACCTGGAAGCATGTAAGAAGTCGAAGGGAGACACGTCTTAAGCCAAGATTCAGAAACAAGGTTAGTGTGAATGTTACTGCAATCAAAAATTGTGAGCATATCTGAAAAATAAGCCGATGTGCTTTGAGATTTTATATGAAAGACCTTGAAGCAAGAGGCAAGAGATTCAGACAGCGCAGGTAAACTCTCGACATTATCATTATAACTATTACTAACAGACATACGGTCAGTTGCACAAAAGTCCATTAAGGTTTGATGACGCATTTAACCACAAATGAATGTCAAATTTGTATGGGTAATGTCGCTTTAAACTAATGAAAATTTTAATAAACGTTTGTGCAACTGGCTGATAAACTGTTAAGTATGAAGTTGTCAATTTTTCTCACTCACTGGCCACTCTAAAGTTGACGCCATTTCATAACTTCGGATTCAATCACAAAAATCAGTGTGCCGTAATTCGTTATATCCACTACGATAATAAAGTATCGATTTTTGAACCAAGGCAGCTGTTTGACAGTCCTATTCTTATTTGGCTCGCATGAATATGAGATTGTGTTACAATAAGTGTTGTTTTAATGTAAGATAATTATATCATACGTAATTATTTAATAATACGTACACAGCAGAGAATTGGGATACCATTAAGTCAAATACACTAAATACTCGATCCAAGGGGTAGAAATCGGTTTCCCGTGGGTTGACACAAACAAAAACTGAGTTTAGGTGTCAAGTTCTAACAGTTCGTATTTAAATCTTTAAGATACTGTTTTATTACGTATACTGACTGCGTGTCAGAGTAACTAATATTTTAAAAAGAAATGACAGTGTTGCACATTTATTAAATTGAATCAATATTTGTACAATATGGAAAACTCAGTTTGTCAATAGGCATGGATGACATTGACAATATGTTCGAGAGTACAAGTCTTTCTAGCACGTTTTGACGTTTTGTTTGATTGAGATATGTGGGTTTAAGGAGTCGCTTCACTTTGGAAAAGGAATCTCTTACTCAAAGAAAATGGGGAACTCCTACCTTAGACAAATAACGTAGTTTTTTATTTTAATTTTATTTCTTTTTTCTCAATCACTTTATCTTAGTCCAAGAGCATTTTAAAATGGTAGGATATTGTATAATTTTGTTTTAAGCTCTTTTGAACTTCTATGTTAAACTCGTAAATTCGTATTTATTACTTATAATAATAAATGAACAATACTGTAAGGAACCAGCAACATCGGTGTACAATTTCATCAGCTATGCGGTTGGCCTCGCCCGGCTCATTATGAGGCGTGCCATTATATTACACTAGTATCGTTATCTCTAGCATTTGATATGAAATCTGCAGGAAATTGTGATTTATTAGAGACTTTAACGTTTTAGATTAGAAATATAATGAGAAGCGTTCCTTTAACACACTTAACACCTTTAACATATGAAGGTAACGGGAGTATATTAACACACTGCTACTAATATCATAAATATTCTTAACATTGATTTAGATTAGTATGATGGTTTTTTACGGGAATTCTACCATGTGCCTTGTTTTTATTGAGAATTTCGGTGCTTTTACAAGCGCCATGATCACGCAGAAATACCGTATGAATGAATTCCCGCAAAAAGCTATCATTCTAAAGTAACCTATATTGTTTTACTATACTTTAATTTTTTCTCTCTGTATCAAATATCTAGCGGCTTTTCCTTGTAACCTTCACTGACATCTGCTTTGCCATCTGAAAAAATAAAATAATCGTCTTACGTAGCAATTGAAATTCTATAACAAACTTTATTTCATTCTTTTGCAGAATGGCATTAGCATTTTTTACATTATAATTTTAAAGTTGTATATCGGTTAAGACCGTTTCCAGAACTCGTTGGTAGATTATAATAAGATATAGCAGCTAGTGGTAATCGTGCTAACCATGCGTCGCACTCGAGGGGCAAGCTCGCACACCTCGAGTTGCAATTAATTAGGATGTTACCTACAAGTGAAAATGCAAGTTTATTATATCTTTCAAAAAATTAAAATTAACTTAAAAAAATTATTACTTAAATTTGGAAAATTTGTTGGAAGGAAAATATATTTTAAAAATTTACTAATATACATTTGGCATAAAACGTTTAACAGCTTTCATTATAACAACTAATAATAAACATAATCGCAGAAACTACAAAGATTGCCCAGATGCCCCTAAGTTTTTCGCTACGATATAAAAGTGTGATGTCACTTCGTTGTCTGATTTTTTAGGGAGCGCCTTCGGCCGATTAGGAGCAATACCATATACACAGCACCGAATTAATGGACTCAGATATTATTGGAATATTTATTTATAAATTAAAAGAAGTAGTCAACTGCCAACAGTAGTCTGCGATGACTTTTTGCTGACGACTGGCTAGACGATGCACTTTGAGTACGGCTGGAAGTTGAATAGCCCGCCATTGGCTTTTTATATTCGTTTATTCGTTTTATAAATGTCCGGTTTATAGCCGTGCCGTGTGAGTGTGCTATTATCTACAGTGTTACAAATAAATAACTTTGGCAGCTTTATAAGGGTTAGTCTAGTTCACTCAAGTCAAGTTCACTTAGTCAAGTTGATAAGCAATAACAAATGTTGACACCAAGTTATATTGACAAATGTAGAGTCATGCTCATCACGATTACATGTAACCGGGTGACCCAGCCAGTTACACAATATCGTACATGATTGGAATTGAATCTCAACCCTCCAAAGAAAATGTGTCGACTTTCACTGTGCGTTTAGTCAAAATCCTGGTAAATGTTTTTTTACGAGTCTATGCATTGTCAGTGAAATAATTCACTTATTTTGTGAAATTATTTACGTGTGTTACTTAACATGTCGTCTAAGCAAATGTTATTAAAAAATAAGCTAATATCAAATATTCATCGTTCTTTAAGCACACAGTAATCTTAACATTCTCGCATATTCTAAAGATACTTGGTATTCCAGTGCCCTTATAACTTTTTATTTTTGTATTATTTTTATTAAAATTGTTATGTTATGTTAACGGAAGAAAAAGAAAAATATTTGCTTAAAAGGAGTCTTCAAAAATATATATGTTAAAAATCTTATTGTGTTAAAAAGTCTTAGATGATGAAAAAACCATTTTTTATATAGTCGGATCACAAAATTTCAAGTGTAGTTAAATTAATAAACAAGGTACATTTAAAGTAATACGTGCTTAGTTCCTACTTAAAATGTCCTATTTAACTCTGTAAAAACATATTTGCAGTGTAAATTCGATTCGGCGGCGTATTTCTTTTTATTTTGTAAATTAACAACAGAGTTTTATAAGGCGAATGAACAGTGCGCACTTTATTGATTTGAATAAAAAACAAATATAATATAATTAAATTCCAGTTTCCGTGTACGCCCGGCTCTACTACATTCATACCTATGCGCTTGCGTAGGGTTATAGGTATTTAACGCTCTAACGTATATTATTTTATTCAATATTCCGTTGAATTAAATAATATAAAGTTTCCTTTTAAACAATGATGTTTACTTTACAAGCATAGATCGATAGACTCTATAGCATTTCTAAATTCAATATTATTTATTCACTCTAGGCTGTTACAAGCACTTATGAACGTCGAAAACTACGCCAACGGTTCGCAAATCTACGGCGGGAGAACTTGTACTGAGAAGAGCCGGCAAGAAACTTGGCAAGGGCTGTTTTGCTCTTTTATATGATTCGATGAGTTTATCGATCTATATTAATTGTATAGATAAAGAAATAAATATTAGATGCCACTTCACAGAGACCCGATAAAATACAGAAAAGTTAACTTTTTGTATTAACAGAAACGGAATTTCTCAGAGGAAATTGAACCCGTGACACCACCACCGCTCCTCAGAGACGGGTATCTTTGAACCTGAAGTGTGCCATTCGACCATAGAAGTCGTGTTTTCAATTTATATATTGTAGAGAGTAATCTTCATTATATAGATTATAAATTTCTGCTGCGCCTATGTCAAGACTGGTATCGCCTATATATTATATCTAAAACTACTGGTTTAGTCCCCAGTCCAGTTAAAATATTTAGTTTTTCATGATTGGAGAATATTACTATAAAACATTGTCTATTTCATTTGATTTTTTCCTATATTTATTTATTTCTTACCAGCTCCCTAATCTAACACAATTAAATGTGTTTCAGATCTTTTAAAGACTTCCGATATCTTCAAGAATCATTGTTATCCTTCAGTGATCAAACGTCACAGAGGAATTGTAGTAAGGATTATTATAGTAAACTGTAATGTAAAAAAATATCTAGGATTCAATTACCATTTATTAAAATTCCGCCTAAAAATTAACTTTATACATGTAAACTTTACAATTTATACAGTCTTACCAAACAGTTTTAATCACGGTCGGGGCATAAAGTTGACCAGGTAATGCCACGGTCCTCAGATCCGACTGTACCAGACCAATAGGTGCCGACACCCACGGGCTAGCAACCTTCAGTGCGGAAAAAGCGAAGGGTGTAATAGCAAGAGGTGTTTGTCCAATAATGTATTTGCTTTCCTCTTTAGCGGCTTCCAGTTTTTCTTCCGGTTTAGCTTCAGGCTGTGCTTCGGCGGTCTTCACATCGGCCGATTCGATTTGCACTGAATCAGCCTTGGCCTCTTCTGGTTTCTCAGCTTTGAATTCTTCTTTCTTCTCTTCAGCTTTCTTTGCTTCTGACTGGATTTGAACGAATGACGTTGAAATTGTTTTGATGCCAGGTGCGATAACCTGACTAGTGTAGAAGTAAGGAGAGACTGGAGCGACTACTGGCGCGACCGGTGCGACAATAGGCGCGGCTGGCGGAACAACAGGTGCAATAACAGCTGGGGCTACTAAACTCTTTGCTGTTATGTCAGATGTACTGGCTATTTGACCGTCTATTTGAGCTTCTGCTGTCTTAAGAGCGTCCAACGCTTGCCATTTCTTCTCTTCACCAGCCCAAAATGCTTCTAAACTCCTTTCCTTGGCAAGGTCGTTGTTCTCCATAACTTTGTCGTTAGTGCTCTCGACCGCTTGCTCGGCGGCTTCTCTATTTTGGTCAACCGCTGCTCTGACCAAGTCTTCAGCTTTGACTTTAGCATCGATGAGCGCTCCTTGAAGGTCGCCAGAATTAACGGACGCGACAGGTATGGCGGGTGCGACGACCGAAAGAGGCGCCACCAAAGCGCCAGAGGGCGCGCCGGTCGCACAAGCGAAAAGTGCAGCGGACAGGATCTGTGTACAAGTGATAATGTTTTAAATCCCATTTTATATCTATCTATTATATCTATTATTATATATCTTAAACTCTTGTATGAATTGTTAGTTTTCATTAGTTTCAGCATGTTTCTTTTTATTCGTCTTTAGCAAATAATTTTTAACTATGTTTTTGTGTGGATTTTTTTGTGATTTTAAAACGAACACATTGAGTGGGCTTCTTAAATAAAGAAGTTTATACCTATAGTACTACTGTGTGCATTGTTCTTTTTGGACCCTGATAATATAAACCAGTTCTCTTTGTAACTATGTTTTAATCAAAAGAAAGAACATATGTTCAAGTTTTTTGTGTACTGCTACATAATTGAAATAGCTTCGACATATAAACCTGCTGGGCTAGTTTTTTTCTTGTTCACTGACTGACTAAAGAAGTTCATAATTCAAATGAATATGACAAATGAACATAATGTTTATGTTATGTCTAAAATCGGTTATTACTAGAAAATAATAGGAAAATTATTAAGTCTAATTAAGTCTTATAGTGAAGTCATGATGATGTTTCATTCATATATTTATTTATTTAAACGTTTTGCCTATAAAATAGCTGATGGCGGACTTGATGCCAAAGAGGAATATATATTGACAAGTGATCAATACTATTATTTATTTCTAGAAACAATATTTATTTTCTTGTCATTTGTTTATTAATATTCTTCAGTTATTCAATGCTCTAGTATTGAATAACATTGAAAAGTCAAGGAAAACTTTATGATAATCACTTTAACTTTATGATGTATAAACTACATTCTATTGGTCTATTTCATATCATACTTTTCTTGAAATAATCCTTTGAAATTACTTTTTCCTTCTAAAAGTTTAAATAAAAAGAATCCAACTAAAAATAAAAGAAGAACATTGTCTAAACTGATATAAAGTCAAGTAAATACTTGTATAATATAAAATTAAAATAATAAAAAATACGTGGTCTATGTCGCGTAGCGGAACTTTTTTTGCAAAATACAATTTAGTTATTTTTATTGAGATCACTTTTGTATATATTTTTATGAAAACACTCGATTGAAGTTATCTTCAAAGAATTATTTAATTTTAAAGGATTTTTTGAAAACTTTAAACGGATTTATTCTTCACTTAAACACAAAAACTAAATGGAACAGGATTAAACACTTGAACACTGACCAGAACTCTCATCTTGATGGCTCGATGGCTACTGATTGCTGTCATCATTGTGAAACCTCTTTTTATATCGATCTTCATTCTACATCTCCGCTATATAGGGCACTAGCCACTCGCCTCTGTAGACGAAAAATAAAAAAGAAGTAAAACGTCAACGCCCGCGTACGGGAAGAATGCAGGAAGCGCGCGCTTTTTGACAGCTGATGCGGCGCCAGCCATCTTTGAAATTAGTAAATTTCGTTGCGTCACTTGCAGGGTGTCTGTACATGTTCGGTGCGGCGATGTTACTTGTCTTACTAATTTATTTTTGTAATTGTTCCGTACGTTCATCGATCATGGAGATTTAAATTACACAGAACACTCCAAACAGTTGTGTTGTTAATTTAAAATTTAAACATCCGTTTATTCTACTTGGACTATGTAACTTTAGATTATTAAACTTTTAACAGACAAAAGCACATCAATAACAAAAACTTATTATGAATAATCTATTAATCTTATATATTATGCTACCTTTTATAAATAATCTGCTCTTTCCCAAAATATAAGATTGCCAATCTACCATGACTGCTTTCGTGAAAAAAATTGTAGCGTTTGTTTCGATTTGTAGCATTAATTGATGAGAAATAAGGTTTGTAAATAAGAAAATTAAGCGTCGAATATCGTCTGATTATCGTTATGTTTTAATTAACTTAATGCCAGCTTACTCTCCCAAAGCAAATCACGTTATTGGATGATTTTGGTTTTATGACTTTTTAAGTTTTCAAATTTAATATCTCAAACCAAGCGCTTTTTCGACAAGACTGAATAATTTTGTCTAAGAGTAATCTAAGCACATTTTTCGTTAATTATAAAAGTAATTTTCACAAAAAAATATTAATCTTGACATGAACCATATTAGAATTTTATCATTGCTTAACGAATTTTTATTTATGAATTTTAAAATAAATAAGGAAACACTAACAAACATACGGACATACAAAAAATTTTTGGTGTAGGTCGCCGTGTTGTGAGCGATTTATTGGTAGTACTGTTAACAGATATTGTGCGCAGGTACAAACATCGTCACATCGGGACTCACAACAAGAAGTCTATTCAATCGATTTCAAACTGTATACAGAACAATTTAGGTCTTAAAAACAATTGAAGCAATTTGTAATTTTTGTATCACCTGACTACACGTTTCACGGTTTAAATGTCAACCGGGGCGGTATTTATGTGCGTGTTATATTTGTCTAAATGATCTCGTTCGGAATGTTTACCGCTGCACCTTTTTTATATATGTGACAAGTTCTTGGCTATTAAACGGCGTAATTGCCAATAATGGCATATATAAAGGTCCGTACATGCTTGTAAAACTCTTCATATGAGTGATACCTGACTGGAAGTGCATCGTTATTCGTCATACTCATATGAATGTGGCAGCTGCAGCAGTTACTAATACTAAAGGAAGGACGCTGGCAGAGGTCTGCTGCAATAAGTGACAATGTGTCATGGTTCTCCGGAATATGTGGAAACGCTATGAGGAGACTGAAAGTGTTGCTAGGACATCTGGAGTAAAGGGAACCCGAGTTACAACAGTCCATAAAAACAGATAGAGTTACCAAAACGTTGGGAGATAACAATTAAAGCCCAATACTAACAAATTCGACCGCAACATTCTTCTGATTGAAAAGTTAAAGTTCAAATGTTTACGTGACGCATTCCTGAATTTTGTACATTTTCGTGGAATTTCGAATACTAGAGAATTGAATGTAATGTTAGGTTTTTTTTAGTGACGACACACAAGTATGTGTGTGGTGTGTGAAGAAAAAGAAGGAAATGTTTTTCAGAACCGTGCATTTATGGAACTGACGATTACGTTAACTGTGGAACTACGATATCTGTACACAGTAGTAAGCACAGTAAAGTCTAATTCTTTCTTTTGTCGCTTGACAGGCGGTAGGGGGTATATGAGATTCTCCATCTATTCGGACCCGCCCGAACTTTAGCCAAAATACGGTAAAATAGAAGACATGAATGATCTGTCAGGACAGTTGATCTGACAGATCAACTGATAGTAAATCTGTTAAGGAGGAAATTAACCGTGAAACCTTTATATATTCAAAACGTGAAAGTAATCTATAAGCGCCTTTATAACGTAAATGTCCTAAACTTTTGGTCAACTTAGATAATTAAAGCAAGACATTCGATTGGTCATTACTAGTGTACTTGAAAAATCAAGTAATGTTTCTTAATGTATTGAACTATATGTGCTGTCAATCATATCAAAAATATGAATAAATCGTTCGGAGAGTATATATATAATAACGTGCACGGAAGTATCTATTAATTAAGGGAATTTTCAGTGACAACTATTACTATTCGGTGGAGATGGATGTCGCAGTGGCTAGCGCGCTCGTTCTGCAATGTGAAAGTTTCGTTAAGACGGGTCATAGAATGTGTGACCAAAAAATTATTATCTAGAGCTCCTCCGAGCTTCGGAAGGCACTTTAAGCCGTCGTGCCCGGCTGCATCTGCAGTCGTTAGTACCCTCCTCATTCTCCCTATTCGTTTTGATTTGATTCCATCCGTAGGGAAGGCGTGATCCTCACCGGTGTAGACATTAATGATATGACTACTAGCCGATTTCTCGCGACCTCGTCCGCGTAAATTATAGCCCGCGTACGATATAGCTTTTCTCTCGTAAGTGACAAAATTTGAAAATCGGTCCAGTAGTTTCGTAGCCTATTCGACGCAACTAACAATCAAACCTTTCCTCTCTATGATATTAGTATAGGTAAACTGTTATTATATACTCAAATAACAGTCAATTTATGTTTCCTGATATGTTGCTTGTATTAAACGAAGAATAGTTGTATATGAATTTTAATATCCGTAAGATAAAATAATTGATGTAAGTTTAAAAATAATACGAACTGTTTTGAAACAAAGAGAGCGCGAGAGTGAACTTACTTTCGTTTGAACTTGAACTTAACGATGCGCTGGCGCCGGTTGCTCATAGTACAGTGATAGAACAGTAGGCAATTAAAATTGTATATGTATTTGATTAAGCTGCCTCTCCGACGATTATGTCATTAATTTTATAACTTTTCACTCTTGGGTAAGAAATTTTTTAACAAAGATTTATCACCTAAAAGTAATGATGACGCATAAACTGCAAAATATAAACTTTGTTAAAATAACAATATTTTATTAAAAATTTTAATGAAACGTGAAACATGTATGAGGATTTACACCCGATTTTCTTTGCTTATCCCGCAAGAGATCTCGCGTAAAGATCAATGAAAGACAGCGTTTTTTATATGCAAAAACTTGTCATTTGCAATGATAAATTAATAGATTTAATGTTTTTACATTATTTTATAGACACAAAACAGTATCTTATGTTTCTACGGTGCAGTTTTTACTTGTATCTCACAAACTTTACGCTTTAGAATATTATGCGACCAACGGTGCTATTAAAAAAAATTTAGATCAGTCAGACTCTACACTAAAATATTCTAACACTTTCAAGCCGAGCATACAAACTTTTTCCTTTGCGAATACATCTAGTAGTAATAATTAATTCGATTAAGTAGTTTTTCTTTTGAATATTTCTGTAGATTTTGAAACCAGCAGGAAAAAATGATTCCATTTGTTGTAATAATAAATATAGTTTAAATTATTTTTCTATCAATGACCAATCAAACAAATAACAATTAAAAAAATCTTTTCATACGATTTAGTTTAATCGCCAGTTCATTTAGATCAAATATATTGTTATTAGGTTCTACTGAAACATAACTTTATTGTGGCATACTTTTTATACTCCACAATCGGCCGTTCACGCCCAGCTGTCATGTTGCTGTCATCATGGAGAATAAGAGCACTTTATAAATGACCACATATACTTTTTCACTGAATCGAAATAAATGGCGGCTCGGTGGTTTGAGTAACGATTAAGATGAACATTTTGTTAGTATTTTTAGCGATGAAGAAATACATTATAATATAATTCATGAGTATATATTAAACAAATTATTTACTTTTCTATTTTATTGCTTTCCCTCAGTATCGATTTGTTCTGTTTGTGTTTGCACTTTCAATTATACATTTACACAACATTTTTCGTCGTTATTTAATTCATTTTTACTCATAAATGAAAAAAAAGGTTTCACGGATGTGGTTCTTTATTGATAATACATACCTATGTTCTTAATTGCGACCAGAGAAACGAAGAGATTGTTGCTATTTTGTGTTTTAATGTGGTGTAATAGAGGCCATTATGCTTAAATTTTATTTTAAATTATATATTATAGATAAGGAAACTCGTAAAAGCCTTTAGTGCGAGTTTAATCAAATTTGTATATATGTTACCGTATTAATGTGAACTTCGTCAATGTATAATATCTCTTGCGATATTATAAAACATTAAGCAATCGCGATCGGATACAAACCATTTACGATTTAACATATTATTTTGCGATAGTTTATAATTAATTCCTGGAAAACCATTATAAAATAAGTTAACAGGAATAACATTCTATCCCATTTTATTCTTCATGAAATTGATAATCATCCTAGATTGTTAAATTTTTCCGACAGCTTCATCTTTATTCAAAGTGTTTAAGGAATTTTATATTTCATTCTACACTCACATTATTGTAAATTATCCTATTAATATTATAAAGGCGAAAGTTTGTAAGTATGGATGTATGGATGTTTGTTACTCTTTCACGAAAAAACTACTGGACGGATTTGGATAAAACTTTACAGCAATATAGGTTATACATCAGAATAACACATAGGGTACTTTTTACTGGGAAAACTTCTCACTCCCACGGGATACCGACTTCCACGCGGACGAAGTCGCGGGCGTCCACTAGTTATAAATATATTGTAAATTTGTTACCGAAACCAATTGCTACCATTATTGTAAATTTGTACTGTTAGGATGGTACTTTATTTAGACAAAGTATCTTGAACTGATCTTGACTTATTTATGAGAAAAGGACTAAAGTTATTAATAACTTTAGTCCTTTAATTAAAAATCATAGAGAAGAAAACGTCATGCTGTGATGATGAGAAAATGCTGTGAA